TCTATGGATAAACTTTACATGCACAAGTGCACCCTCACAAACTACAGGTGCTTGGCTCCAACTACTTAGAGATTTGATTCACTTCCATACAGAAAGCCCATATTCTTATCTTCAGGCAACATAGAGTACATGTCAGATTAAATAATACTACTTCAGCGATAGTATCTAGGTGTTACTTTATTGTATGTCTCATACTATGTCTGTTTGTTGTGCTGTTCTTTTTACATCTCTTTGCACGTGATGAAGCAGACTGAAAATGTTTTATCGTTATTTCCCTTTTATCTCCTCATTCTTTCTTCTTTTCTCCTTTTTTCTGCTTTCCTCTTCTATTCTATTTACATTGCAGTGTCCATATAATCTGTAAAACTCCCTGCATAATTATAATAAAGCAATTTATATGCATGAATCAAGTGGAACACTATGGCGATAGCCGTACCGCTTCACTTGTGAAAGTAAAATCTGTCGGTCTCTTTTTGGCATCAAGACAATTATTCTTATTTCCACATCATCAGACAAGACACTGTTAAAAAAATAAATCCCTAATTGCTCATCCTAACTCTATCAACAGAATAATCTGGCTTTGAACAAAAAGCTAAATAAGTCTGTGGATATAAAAGTTAGCACACCCCTGACCAAATGTCTGTTTATAAGTTATAGAATATTCAAGATTAGTGATGCTCTGATTAGGGCTGAAAGACTCGGCCAAAAGAAAGAATTGCAATTTTATTTAACCAATATTAGGATTTTATTTTGATTTTCCTTTTCACTAGCCATAAGATTGTAGATGCTTTATTCCAGGGTTTCGTTTTTTTTGTCTTTGCCTTGAAACCCAGTCCATTGTTGCAGGACTTTACTGTTACCTTTCTTTGATAGTGTTTACTGCTACTTGCATGCATGCATCTGCAGTATTAGCTGCAACTTTCTCTTCTTTTCTCTTTGGAAGCAAACTGCATTACACATCTATTTAGGTGTATTCAACAATTAAAGGACTGCAGTTAGAAACGATGTGTCTTACTCTTGTTAAATGTAATGTGACCAACATTTAGAGCCTCTGTAATTTGAAAATTGCATTTTATCAAATTGTGATTATATTGCAAATGCAAATAATTGCCCAGCTCTAGTTCCAATCACACATTGATATAATAAATTGGTTCAATATCAGTTAATAAATGAGTATCAGTATAAATCAGGCTGCAGCTAAAGGCTCTGATAGAAACACTGTTTACAGTTTAATCCATTGGTTACTAATAAATGACTCAGCTGTTCTCATTCCTCCTGTTATTGTTCTCTGTTTAAATGAGAATCACTTGATCAAACTTTTTACATTATTTCACGCAAATGAATAATAAAAGTCTGTATGACTCATCCTGATATCATTTCAGGTTAATATTGATATATGGAAAATTAGATATCGGCACTGTATCAGAAATTAAAAATTTGTATCAGGATGAAACTAATCTTGGTAACAATTTGTACCTAATACCACCCTTTAGGCCCAAATAATTTAGAATTATTTCTTTGAGAATAAATAAAGTAAAAACATGAGAGGATTATTAAATATACTGGGACCATCTCAGTGATAAACACCAGGTTTAATATCACTGATAACTGCTGAGAAAATTATAGAAGTGTTAAACTCTGTTGTGAGTGACTATATAAGCCTCTGGGTAGGATTAAAACACCAAAGCTTATTCCTGGATTCCGTGTGCATTTCTGATCAAGACAACAGTGCGTCATACACATACAGGACCACATTTCTACCTCTCAAGCGACAAGAATTGCTATGGAGTCGCTAAGATCAGTTTTGATCTTGGTTACGGATAATTCATTAATTATATTAAATAACAAAACATTTGTTGGCCTCTTAATAATCTGAAGTTACATCTAGCAGAGTTAAGTTAGATCCAAAGCTCTGTAATATCTACGTATCAGTGTCTAATCTATGCTTTTTTGTGTGTGTGTGTCTGTGTGTGAGGGGGATACTGTGTATCCTGCTTCCTTTAATCAACAACAAAAACAATCAATGGTAAAATAAACACAAACCTCCAGTTTGGTTGAAGCGCTGCTTTACAATGTCAATGTTGGCTTTGTAGGCCTGCTGGGTACCCTGAATGATTGCAAGGTTCCTCTCCCAGAACTGCGGATCTACTGCATCATTCACCCAGTCCTGCTTCGGAACAACTTTCTGAGTGTTGCTGTCATAGTAATTAATCTGGGCATCATCAACCAAACCAACAGACACAAACTCTGGGAAGTTTTGGACTTGAGACGATGCTGTGTAGAAAAACTTCAGGGAGTGGGTCACTGGAAAAAAATAACAATGGGATTAAAAATGTATAAATGAAAGAATAATCAAACCTTTTATTTTCTTCACAAAAGTTAAATAAACTAGACCACCATTATTAAAACTAGCCTTGAAATAAGAACACAATTCAGAAAGTTTTCATCAGTTTAATCATTTTTGAGGAGTTTGTTCACTATAAATAAAAATTTTGTTAAACAGTCAACTTTATTTACTACTACTGTTTTAATTGAGGTCCTTTATATGTTGATAGGACAAACGCTTTATTCAGGACCTTAATGTCACGCACTGTTTTACTAATTGTTCTTTTTAATTATAGTTTAGATTTTACAAACCTGTGAAAAAATTAAAGGAACATTTCTAGTCAAAATTCTGTAAAAAAAAAAAAAAAAAAAAAAAACAATAATTCAATAATCAATCTCCCACTCATTCTGGATTTTATGAAGTACACCCTCAAAACAATGGCTTCAAATTAGGAGAAAGTATATTTTTAATTGTTAAATAAAATAAATGAATGATTGAACAGATAAATAAAACCTTTATTGACATCATAGACAATATGAAGAAGAATCTGTTTAATAAACGTCTCATGCCACTGTGTGATTAAAGGAATAGTACACCCAAAACATGATTAGCCTTCATTTTCTACTCACCCCCATGCTGAACAACACTCTGGAGTACTTTTTTGATATCTCAAATGCATCTGGAGATCTGGGAGGCTTCTTGCTGTCTGCTGACATTCAAATAATGGAGGTCTATGGCGC